CACGGCAGTTGCTTCCAAACTGAAAATCTACTGTCCCCCCCCCTCTCTCAAACACACACCTGCCCTCCCACCCTTTACCTATGAGGGGTCACCTTTACCAAACTCTCCTGGACCCTGATCAGGGTACTCTTGCTTAACAATTAGCACCCATTAAGGAATCATCAACTGACTATTCTGAGCTACTGGTACCTAGGGAAGGCTCATATAGCATCTGAAACGCCATATTCTATGAGGAGAAAAACTGGCCCACTGCTCATAAAAGATTGTGAAGACAAAGTGGACAGTTAATAAAAACTTTAGAAGAGAGATTCAGATCGTTAGCCATGTTGGTCTGAAGCAGCAGAAAGAAGTTTGAGTCCGATGGCACCTTTAAGACCAACAAAGTGTTATTCTGGGTATAAGCTTTCATGCGCACACCCACTTCAGTGCGCATGCACATAAAAGCTTATACCCAGAGTAAAACTTTGTTGGCCTTTGTTCTTCATGAAGTAAGTTAGACTGAAAGACAGGGACCGGCTCAAGATCCCATAATGAGCATCATGGCATACTAGGAATTTGAACCCGGGTCTCCCCAGACTTAATGTGTACTCTAATCACGATCCTGCACTGGCTCTCTTTCCACTCCAAAGTAACATGTCTTAGGGACACAGGTCCATTTTCAACATTACTTTTTCAGGTAACCTAGGACAACAATCCGATCACAAATGATTCATAACACTTCAATAGTGTCATCTTAGGCAGAATTATACCCTTCTAAGGTTATTAAAAGGAGACAGAGAAGGAATAGAGAAGGAAACTTTTGCTGTGTGCAGTTTCCTGATTATACGTTTATCAACATGCAAAGCTGTCCTTGGACTTAAAAGAGCACAGCTTGCACTACGAAAGTCAGAGGCATTATGGGAGACGCTAACGCCCCACAATATGCACACTATAATTTCTTGCTACAGCAGAGTCAGATGCAGAACAAAATAATAGCAACTTTCTCCCACAACAGCTCAGCAAACAAGATGCTTTGCAAATCCTTACGTAATACCATGTTATGAGGGCTTAGCCTGTGGGAGGCTACAAAGGGTCAGCCTATACTAAAGAGTAGATTATCTAAACACAATTGTGAAAAGACTGGGACTTCCTTTGCAGTATGGAGAAAATAAGGAATGAATATCTATCTGAGGGATTTCTTCTCCTCTAGGAACAAAAGCAGGGTGTTTTTAAATCTCAAACCAAAGATAATCTTGAGGATATTTACACAAGCTGTATAATACGGTTTCAGTACAACTGAGGTTTATGGCCCTGCTACCAATGGTCACAGCAAGGGAACCAGAACACAGTACCTTTTGATTTGTACTTCTGGTATCAAACTGAATGCGGCCATTTGCAAAGATGCAGAGATGAAATGGAAAACTAACTCAAGGTCCCACAAGGCTGAGCGCCCCCAACAAAGAAGATCATATTACCAATAGATAGTGGAATGTGTCCATTTGACCTTGAGGGCAGGGGTTTACAGAGTCAAATAGAAAGTGTTCATGCCTATCTAGTAAATGTGCATTTGTAGTTATTAATGAATTTATCATCACAATTAAATGCAACATGCTAAAATATAATATTTCTTTTGTTGTTATTCTGTGTACCTAAAAACACAATGCCATAGACTGGTAGCATCTAGCTGAGGAGGTTACTTGTGTACAACAGCCCTGGGGACCCACGGGGTTCAGCTTTGGACTCCTTGACAGCCATGCTATTCAGTCCATTCATACATAATACTTGAGAGCCAGTTTGGTGTAGTGGTTAAGTGCGTGGACTCTAATCTGGGAGATCCAGGTTTGATTCCCCACTCCTCTGCTTGCACCTGCTGGATGACCTTGGGCAAGCCATAGTTCTGGCACAGCTGTTCTTGAAAAAGAGCAGTTTCTGTCAAGAGCTCTCTCAGCCCCACCTACCTCACAGGGTGTCTGTTGTGGGGAGGGGAAGGGAAAGGAGTTTGTAAACTGATCTGAGACTCTTTTGGGTAGTGAAGGGCGGGGTATAAATCCAATCTCTTCTTCTTCTTCGATACACAAAGCTGGGGGTAGAGATAGCCATTGCAAAAAGGCTGTCACTGAAAACAGCAACCTATGCCGAATGTGTGCCCATCCCCTCTGTAATTTCTAGTACAACATCATGATGTGCTACAGAGCCAGTGTGGTGAAGTGCTTAAGAGTGTCAGACTGGGATCTGAGAGTCCCAAGTCTGAATTTTTTTTTTGGAAACTTGCCGGGTGATCTTGGGCAAGTTACATACTCTCAGCCTAACTTACCTCACACAGTTTGTTATGGGGATCAAATGGAAGACAGGAGAATGATGTGAGCCAATTTGGGTACCCACTGGGATGAAAGGGATAAATGAAGTTACTTCTCTCACACACACCTTCTCATACGGCTACCATTATGCCAGCTATGCTGCCATGGGGGTTGGGGAGCTCGGTCTGTGTCTGGTTAATTGCTAATGCATTCCTTTCTGTGCTTGTTCTGCTTTGCGCCGAAATGCTTATCTATACAGATGTGCAGGAGGGAGTTGTATTGTCTGGGTTT